CTGCGAATTTTCGATTGCGTCCTTACGCGCAGGCGTAAGCACCGGCATCGACGACGACTGATTCTGGGGGTATACTTTCGTTCTCCGATCAACATCCGTCCAAAACAAGTATTGTCAAATAAGTAACACTCGATCAAATCAAAAAGCAATGTCAATTATGAAGCTTCATTCGCATCATGCATCTTTTAATTTGGCCTAATTATAATTTGGTTTACATACAATGGTTTTGGATGCATGTCGGTCGGAGAATAATCGGTCGTACAGGGCCTGGTTTAGAATCAACTAGTGCGACGGCGCGCGTACGACCATGTTAACGGCGAATCGGCTTAATGAGACAAGTATGGTTAAACACGATCACATCAAGACGAATCCAAGTTAATCAGTTTGGTAACTTCCTAATATTATCTATACACGCTTATAACTATACCACCATTACAAAACCGTCGAGATAATAGGTAGGTGTACCCATACCGCAAAGTTTGAAAACAAAGGTTCTCAATCAGTGCCTTATACACATTATGGCATACGGAGTCGAGACGCGGACACTCATAATACGGCTAGTCTATCAGATAAAAGTCCCTTACTGAGCTATGGAACGAGCAATGCTTGGAGTTTCTCAGAAGGACAAGATATGAAATGAGGTTATCCGACAGAGAACCAGGTCGTAGACATAGCTGGTAGAATAAGCATATTGAAATTTCAAAGGGCTGGATATACAGAAGAAGAACCGGGGAAAGCAAGTTTGGAGAGTAGACCACGGCTCGGCAAACTTAGTGTAGGACGACCTCTGGCCATATGGAGTGACGATTTATGAAAGGCTGACGATCTGAGGGGCACTGCCACGGCGCCCGTCACCCTGAGACGTAAGTTGACAAGTCCCATGTGCCTGTAATTTCACCCGCATCCTTACCCTTCAAATCCGAAACGCAGTAATGATCACAAAGCCGTACTGTGCGGCAGAAATAGGTAAGATGGCAGTACTACCCTGGATGAACTCTATCACAAGGAGCTGTACTGGTACTAAATTGGCCTATTCATGTGAATAAATTATAAACATCTTTTCCAAAAATGACAAAACGGAACCGTGCTTAGGTAATATTTATTAATAGTTTACGATGGCCTCGACCATACGAGGTGGTGTGGCAATTTGATTATCACATTTTCGTCATTTCTGCTGCACAAATCCGTATTTTATTTGTTTATTATGAGAGTTAGTATTGAACTGTGATATCTGTTATTTTAGGGGATTTTTATGACACAGATGGTTTTTATAATTTACTGCACGCTCATAGTTACAAGCTAGTATACACATACTCGAGTTCCAGCCTTGATTTGAATTTGCTACCAACATTATAAATGTATAAATAAATGGAGTGACTTCTTTGGGTTCTCCGGTAAAAATGGGTGATCCGCAGGGCTCAGTACTTGGACCTTCCTTATTTCTCATTAATGATCTGCTCTTCTTTGTTAAGAACCTTTACGAAATAGTGTTGTTTGATGACGACACATTCTTGATTTTAAAAACGGACAGGCATAACGTTAACTATGACAATATTAACGACACCCTCTCAAAGGTAGTTTATTGGTTTCATGCAAACAATTTATTGCTCAATGCCAAGAAGATAAAGTGTGTTAAATTTGAATTACCTGATGTAAAATCGACTAGTCCAATCATAGAAATAAATGAAGAAAAGTTAGACCTTGTTAATAAAGCTGTCTTTTTGGGAGTGACCTTGGATAGTAAACTTCAATGGTTTCCACATATATCTTCCTTAGCCAGCAGATTAAGTTCTGCTGCTGTAAGTTTTAAACTTAGAAAATTATAATCTTAATATCTCCTAAGATGCTCTTATTGTAAAAATGTATGTGTACAGCTCCCCGAAAATAATCGTTTACCTTAGGTAAACGAAGTCGTGGTACCAAGAGTTTAGATTTTGTTTTACAGATTCTTTTTTTAAAGTAACTTAATTCAAAAGTTAATATTATTTATATCTCTTTTTTAATGAAATTAAGTATGTTTTTACGGGCATAAAAATATTTGAGTAAATGTACTGTGATGCCGTGGTCATGACCTCAGTCTCTTTAAACTTTTCTATGAGAGAAATCCGAGAACAATGCGTAAATTAGTGCTATAAAATTTCACATATAGATCATTTGTATCATGCCATTCGTATTATTTTTATGATTTTTATACGACTAATAATTTATACATAAGTTGCCCAAATTAGGGACCCTAACTCCTTGATTTTTATTACGTCTCTCTAAGATGAGTTAGGGTTCTTTGGAATTGGGTAATGTAATGAGTGTTTAAGGTAAACATACTCCAACAATATTGTTTTTATAATAACAAGTGACGGGACGAACAATTCCTTCGGCTGGTAGTAAGCGACACGCCTGTCTATAACAGTTGCAGTGCCACTCAGAGCTGAGGGGCACTGCCACTGCTCCCGTCATCCTGAGACATAAGTTGACAAGTTCCGTATGCCTGTAATTTCACCAGCACCCTAACCCTTCCAAACCGGAACACAGCGACACTCACATTACTGTTTGGCGTTAGAAATAGGTAAGGTGGTAGTAGCTACTTCCCTGGACGAACTTTTTCATAAGGAGATCTACTGCTACTAAAAGGTAAATAATAAAAAAAAATGTAGAGAAGACAAAACGATCACAAACTTTCTAATACAAATTTTGTATATAGTATGATAGATGTATCCTTCCATTGACATTCCAGAAACATGCTACTCTTGGAAAGGACATGAATACTTCAGCAAAATTACGAAACTATTTAATAAGCAGTTGCTATTTTCTTCTATCGAAAATGTTTTACTTACATGAATGTTAGCGGTTGCCCTTCGGAATGCCCAAGTGGTTTGGAAAAAGGGGACAGTTTTTGATGTTTATTAATTTATGTCATTCACATCCAAGTTTGTAAACTATTTCTTGCCATCACAGAAAGTGCCTATTTATTTACATTTTTGTGTATTAAAGTCATACATTTTATAACTCCTGTTTAAGCATAAGAAAGTTACCGACCAATTTCGATCGCAGAATCATTAAGCTTCTCTCCAGAAGATGTATTTTATGAAACCATGTTACGTTTAGTTACTAGGATGTTTAATTGTGTCGAAATGAATGAATATTTGAAAATGATGATAATTCAGAAATTAAAAAGAAAAGTTACAGAATGTTTTCCTGTATGATGTAGGGAAGTAATAGAAAAATAAGGAACATATAAAGGTAAATATTATCAGGATTTGTTTACTTCCACGCAATTTTGGAAAGGTTTCTTTAAGGAAACTACATCTATCTGTATGTAAACAAAATAAGTCTTCCGACTGCTGGACGTTCTTAGATGTCACCTTTGTTTGAATGAATCTATTTGTTATTATTAAACGTCGTTTATTTTCATATACTTTATTTGATCGTAGATACTGAAATTATACTCACATCTTCAATAATGAAGAAGAATCCAGCATCCCGCTAGTTTCCACACAACTAAAATGACGAATAAATTTCACCGCTAACCGTGTTTTCAAAATTAGCATGTTCATTTGGATTTCGAGCTTCCTTGAGTAGGTTAAAGAATAAAGTGAATAAAAATTACGTACGTATAAAATTATAATCAACACTTTTTATGTAATCCTGCCTTCGATACTACTGAGTAAATTCAAGCTACAAATATTATACGATTTCTTAATAGAGTATTGTTTGAGCAAAGATTTGCATTGGTTGATAAAATATTCTTCGAATTGAATTTGATCAGGATACTGCGGCTGGACAGGTGATCGATTGTACACCGCGTCGATTCAATTTACCAACAAAAACGGGCGGAGGCGTAACGGATGAGCCCGCCATTGACCCACCAGTACAGTGCAACAAATTTTACTTTACAGTTCACAGAGACGTAAGTTTCCATTCCGTATTCGAATAAGAAATAGTGTTAAAATTTTTCGAGTGAATTGAGAAGTTGGTCGCAAAGAAACTCCAGACTGAGCGCAATGGCTGTACACGAACATGTCTCCGATGTTATCCGAATTCTGCGCCTTGAATATCAAAATTCTATACCATTAAAAAACGCTCGAAGGATAACTGTAAATACGAGTTTGACCATAATATTGTTACACGACGTTTTGGGGTGACAGTTAGCGGAGGTAGGAGCGCTAAAATGTGTTCGCGTCGCGTCGCGATTAGTGATAAATCTGGACATAAATCCAGATTTTTCAGGATTAGTCAGGTTACCTAGAAATGAAAGTATTTATTAAAATCGTATCAATCGTAAATGTATCAGGCTGCCAACGGGGCCTGTACAAAACTGAAACATTGATTTGTTAGAAAAAAATATCAAATATACACTATTTATAAAAAGTCAAATATCTGCGATTTAAAAAATTTAAAAACTTTGACTTGAAATTGAAAAAATTGTGACCATAGTACCCACGATACAGGATTTCCCTAGTGCGGGGTGTGTGCTTAAATATTTTAGATTTTAAACCGGAAAAACTGTTTCTAATATTCATAAAATTTGAAGTTAACTAGTGTATATTCCTTAAAACGTCGCTTAATTGATGAATTTTTAATATAATAATTGTGATTACAAGTGCTTGGTTTCGATTCTTTTTTAGGAATATACAGATACACTTGGTGATGGTCTCACGAATTAAAAGTTTGCTCACACCCCTAAATTGAACGTGTACCGAATATTGAATAGTTAATTAAATATGAGGTTAAAATCGTTTTAGCTCTCCTTCTGTAGACGTACGTACCAGACGTAGGTATAATTTTGCGGGTCTGTTGATAATATCTTAGGAACGCTCGTAAAGAGGGCAACGGCTTACAAGAATTACATATGCAAGTTTGGTTTTGACAAAATAACCGAATTTCAAGTAAACATGACGTAGACTTTAAGGAAAACACCAAAGGCAATATCGGTAACCAATTTTTCGAACTTTTAACAAAGTGTTAAATGGTACATTTTGATCTCTCTTTCGTATATTGCATATAAACATACATACATAATATAACAAACGCCGTTATCACTTAGTGCATGCGTATTTACTTATAAATTAAACACTTCAATGTCGTCGTTGAACGAATTATTATCGTCTGGAATATTTTCAACATGTATAATCTTTTCTACGTTCTCGTTAAACGTAACTACTGACTTTTTTCTTGTTCTCCGTCTTTCACCGAACTCATCCTCATCTTCAGAATCATCGTCACCATCTTTCAACTTGTCTATAGACTGTATTACGATTGGAATATCATTTACTACAGCCTCAAGAATCCTTTCGGAAGATTTTATTCTAGAATCTGATGGTGTCGGTTCGACGGCGACTGCTTCCACTGACGTGTCTAGCATTTCTTGGAGTCTTTTTTCACTTTTCTTTAGCGTTTCTAGGTCGATTCTGGGTCTAGCTAATATGTCCTCTGGTTTAGGACTCTCAATCCCAGATTCTTTATGCGACGCTAAACTATCAATATCAGAGAACTGCTTATAAAACATGTTCCATTTCCTGCAACAAGTAAGTAAAAAATTGCGTAAGTTTACCTTATGCTCTGTTGATAGCAAAAAGTAATTTAAACAACAATTCCTACCTTCTTAGGAAGAACCACACGGCTGCGGCCACAATTATTATAAAGAGCAGGACACTGAGGATTATTGTTGCTACTAACAAGCCTGTGGCACTTTGTATGACGCATGATTCTAGACCTTCCAGATATTCTTCTAGAGATACAGACCGTATTATGTTGACCGTTATTGGTCTGCTACTTATATTTCTGTAACGAATATTAATATAAATATTTATCTTAGAAGACTAATAAATTCCACATTACTAGACAAAATATCAGATTCTTACGCGAGTAGTTTATCAACATCAACCGGTTCCCGTTCGTATAGTCCATAAATATAAAGTTGCAACGAAGCTCCAGGGGCAGATATCCTTTCTCGTTTATTCATTGTGTTATCTTCAGGGAATTCTTCAGTGGTATGTGGTACGACTGTGGATCTTAGAGATTTAACTTCGTATCCAAGTGCTTCAGTAAATTTGGTTAGGATATTTCGCTCATCGTTCAAAAATTTGTCTCGTACCGTTACGACGGCGATATGATTTGTATCTATAAGTTTCACCTGGAATTAAAATGTTTACAACTGTAGAAAGGCGACTTACAACAAGTTAATTTTAAGCTAATGTTATCTTCAGGTCGTTGGCTCCGGACGGGACATGTTATGTCAATAAAGTGGGTAAATAATACACATTTAAAGTCACAAGACTAGTCTCAATCTCTTATTTGCTAAAGTATATATTTATATTTACAAAGTATAATTTAGTGAACGATATGAATCAAAACTTTTGGAGCTTGTACATTCATTTCTTCCTTCGCTTCCATCAATGTCGACTTTTTTTTATATAATATCAAGTGACTGGACTAACAAGTCGTGTGTCTGACGGTAAGCTACACGCCTGTCCATAAAAGTTGCAGTGCCCCTCAAAGTTTTAAATCGCAAGGATCTGAGCAACTCTGCCACTGCGCCATCACCCTGAGCCATAAGTTGACAAGTCCATGTACCTATAATTTCACCAGCACCCTTAGCCTTCAAAACCGAAACACGATAATGCTGACATTACTGCTTGGCGGCAGAAATAGGAAAGATGGCAGTACTTTCCTGGACAATAAGTTGTTGGGCTACTTCATGGGAGGGGCCTTGTCAATATTGGGTTTAAGAGGTATTAATACTGTGCGTAAGCTGGCAAATTTAATTTGATTGTGTTTCTTTTTTTATATCTCTTTCTATGTTAGTAACCTATGTTAGTTAAGTAAATATTATTATTGCTCATATCCAATGTTGTACATATCCGGTCATGGTCTGATGTAATGGATCATTACATCAGACCATGACCGGAAATATAACATATAGTCAGTTAAATGTAATACTAATAATGTATGTATTACCTATTGATGTGCCTAAATAAATTAATTAATTCATGAATACAAGAGCCCTTAATTTTTATTTTTGCTCTTCTTGGTGTTTGGTCTATCAAAAGTTGTTTAAGTTCTTTCGAAAATCGCAGGAAGGCAAAGGGAGCGTTGCTCATACCTTTCAGAATTAGGAAAAATAACAGAACGCTGTAATGAACGGTGTGGTTTCGTAATTTGCATTTTTTATAGTTTATAGGCGTTAAAAAAGCTGACCTTACATTTAAATTAAACAAGTTTTGTTTTACATCTTTGTGCTGACTTCATAGGTATGTTATAGAATTTGGTCGTACGTCTTTGTGCTGATTGCATACGTATGTAATAGCAATCTTTGTATCATTCTTGTTCGTGTGTCGCTTATAAATAATAAGCGACGCACATACAAGATAACACATAAAAATAATAAAATATACATAAACATATGACATAATGTCATGGCATGGCAAATGTATAATGTATAATTAAACATTTGAAATATAAAAAATAATTGGTATATCGTTAAAATCATACCTTCAAAACATAATTTTTATAAACATATATTATTATAAGCATTTCTACCACACAGTTGAGATTTTCCTTTAAATAAAAGCGTGTTTTATAGATATATAGTCAAAAACATTTCCCAGTAAAATTGTAATATGACACGTATCACAAAAAAGTTATTTTCTAGTACCTGTGTACCGGTATTTACCTCAGCCATTGGTGGTCAGTAAATGGGCATTTATACACATAACTAACAACTGACCATTTGCAAAATTTTGTTTGTTTTATGTTTGCTGTGGTTTATGGACGAGGTCATTTCATACTGAGTCGGATATCTGCTTACAATATTGTCATCTAACAAAACAAAGTACCTGGTCACTTTGTTTATGTGTTAATTACAGAATTTAAGATACGTGTGTTAGAAGACATTAATTTGCCAGAATAACATCATCACAATTTTTGACAAACGGTAAGTAAACAGTATCTATTTGCGGGTGTTAGCGAATGAGCCCTACCTTGAGGTCCTAAATTATCACATTGTCATCTTTGTATAGAGGAAATGTAAAAATTTTTGCTTCTGAATGCTAATTCATTACATGTGTTAGATGCTTTTTGGGACGGACGTTAAAAATAAGTCTTAGTTTCTATACATATAGTTTTAACATCCAAATGCTAGTTTTTATTAAGTTCTAGGAATCTAGAAATCTAAATTCTAGGGATCTGATAACAATAGCATGTTTGGAAAGTACTCGTTTATATATTAACTGCCTCCGTGGCCGTACTGGTCAAGCAGAGGAGCCGCGTTCGATTCCCAGGCCGTGAGAAGTATTTGTATGTTTTTGAAGGGCAAGGGTGCTGGTGAAATTATAGACACAGGGGTTCAACTACATATGTCTCAAAGTGACGGGCGAAGTGGCAGTGCCCCTCAAAGTTTTGAGTGGTAATGCAACTGTTATGGACAGGCGTGTAGCTTACCATAAGGCGCACGACTTGTCCGTCCTGTCATTTGATATTAAAAAAAAGACCTAAATCTATTTTTATATATATATTTATATTTTAAACTGCCCCTGTGTCCGAACGGTTGCCACGACTGCCGGACTGCCACGCAGAGATCGCAGGTTCGTTTGTCGGGCCGGGACAAATATTTGTATGACCTACATTTATTTCTGTCGTGTGTAATTTATGGTTGTCTATGTGTGTGGCCATGGCACCCGCGACACAGGGTTTCACTAGTGCGGGGATATGTGAAGTGTGTGCGCTTTTTATTATTATTATTTTTCTCGTGAATTTGGGTGCAATTTGTGGTGTGTGTTCTTAGCACCCGCGACACAGAGTTTCGCTAGTGCGGGCCAATGAGTCTGTGTGTTATTTATTATTATTATAAATACAAGTACACTATATATATATAGCATAATTCTAACTTATGTTAGTAGCATGGAGTAAAAGGTATCACCTTGAGGAATGCATATTATTTAACATTCTACGCAATAAGAAAATAGAAAAGTTTTTGAATACGAATATTGCCGGTCACTCGCCTACTTTCCATTATTCTAAAAAGAACCACAGCGGGTGGACGCAGTAAGTTGGAGTATTTCTTACCATAAGCTTGACAGATCCAGTAAGTCCGTTATCACCGTTCCGATCTGTAACGTTAACAGTCAACACCATGTTATCTTCTAAAAGTTCGTTCTTGCGAACGTGAACTAATCCTGTACTAGGTGCTACAGATAAAGCGTCTTCCAAACTCCAGTAGAATAGTCTTGCATTCATTCCGACATCTGCGTCAGTTGCCTGGGGAATTTAGTAAAATTGCAATGGTAAGTGAAATTATTAAAGGACAAGTCAAGTCAAGCATGATACCCAGGATCCCTCACATGTCGCAAATAAATTATTGGTTTCCAAAATTTTGGTCGAGTAGTGCATATTTAGTACATGAACGTAGGAAATTTACTTTTGAAATCATAATTTACTCAGCGGCAAGTCGTAAATAAGAAGAAACGGACTTCATTTTAAAGTAACGGATTTTGCCTTAGGCAATTAATTTATGTATTCTGATTAAACGATCGAAAACACGACATCATGAGATATGACGCATGTAAAAAACGGCAATAAGATAAATGGATTTGTTTTTAAAACAAAGCACGCCTTATAAAAATCTCACCTGTAACTCGACTAAGGCTCGAGGTAATACACGTTCTTCGAGTTTCGGTACGGGATAACCTACTACTATAGGCTCATTTTCATTTTCATCAAAAATGGGAGCGTTGTCGTTGATATCATTTACAATTAGATTAACTAAAGTTCGCCTTGAATTGTATCGAATGCCATCAGTTAAGATCCATTTCTTGTCGCCGTAATCATAAGGACCGAGGTGATCGAGTTTCGGTTGTGGGTTCAAAGAACGCTTGTGTCGCGTTGACACTTTATCGGTATCGCATTCGAGGAATAGCTCAACTTGCACTTGCGAGAGCGCCATAAAAGCGATCGACTCATCTTCCCTGTCGATATTATGAGAGTGCAAACCATTGTCATCGACGTATAACCACTTCTGATCATGAGGCCATAGGTTTGTAAGAGTGTACCGACAACCTGGGAATTGTGCTTCGTTTAAAAGTACGAGGTTTCGGTGAGGTTCTTCTTCGTCTCTGTCCAAGATTATCAAGGGTGGCACCACGAGGTCATCTTCACCGCATATTGTGATGGCGTCTACTGTCAGAGTGATCTGAATCAAAAATCAAAATAAAATGTTATTTTTAGTTAACATTAAAGGATGTGCATATTCTATAACCAAGATGTGTTTAAAAAAAAGTAATATCGAGTTCTTACGATTTCGTGATTGTTATACATTACTTAATTTAATATTATTATTAATTTATTATTTATTACAAAGGAAACAATTCTTTAGGATCTAAATCGCGTACTTTCGTTTTTGGTGATGACTTCATTCAGGTCGACCTCTGGTCAGGTCGGCCTCTGGAGGAATCTGTACAGGGCCCGAAGCGTTAAACTATTTGAAGAAAAAAAATCGAAAAAAAATAAACGCGATTTAGAAACGAAAAATAGTTTCATTTTCAATGAACAATTTATTAAAGCAAACAACCAAACTGTTGAGTGTATAAATGTTTAATATTTTCAAAACGATCGCAATTATGTCTGCGTTTTTAATCGATAAATTTGAACTGGAAGAAAAATAAGTTTCCAAATATGTTTTCGTCTCATGTCAGTTATAGGGTACCTTTTTCACACAAACTGATTTTTGAGCTTCAATTCGAGCTGTTTTGTTAGTTTATATTTGGACAGCCGCTGCCCGAACACCCGTTTTCTCACAATTGGTTTTTATTGGCATCACAAACATCTAATTATGTCGTTTGTTTGTTAAGATATCTATAATCAAAATGACAAGACAATTTGCTTGTACCTATGACCTTTACCTGTTTTCAAAATTTATTTTTTGTTTTAAATTAGTAGACTTAAATTTGAACTTTTTGTCTGATGATATTGATTGTTGATTGATTATTTGTACCTACCTGTGCAGTAGCAGTGGCTTGTGACACGACTGTAGTGGCCACAACTTGGAAGTTGTATACTCCGCTGTTAGCTTGCGCAGACAAAAACAATCCACCTTGGATATCGATGGACAAGCGTTGCTGTAAATGTGCTGCAAGAAAGTAGACTAGCGTGTATTGAAGTTCAGACTAAAATGAATCTCATCGAAAGACTGTGTACGAGTATGTCTGTACTTACAGAGGGTTGGTGCAATCTATGGGATATACGAGTATGTGACTTGGGTGCTTTTTAAACAACCTGGTGCATTTTTTCTGCTGGTATTTATTACGTTAATAAAGGTTTTTAGTTGTCTTTTCTTTTCCAGGCAAGAACACTACACCTTTAAGTATCATATAGGCAACTGCCACATTGGAAAGGCGACAAATTTTAACGTGGATTAAAAATACACTCGTTCGCTTTCTATAGAGTTAACCTACAATGAAGATTTTAGCTGACTTCCGTGTATTTTTCATTTTATTATTTGGGTGTAAGCCAGACCTTTCCAAATTTAGCAAATGAAACTTGCTTATAGTAAAATAATAAAAGTCGAACTATTCCAAAAAAACGCAAAAATATTTATGAATAACGACCGTATTGAAATATTTTTGTACAGTACAGTTGTTTAGTCCCTTCGAGACCAAGAACGTTGCAACATGTCCAAATCTCGAGGGAAATAAAATCTATTTATACGCGATTAAGTCCCGGTTTTTAAAAGCAAATAATATTTCTGTATGCCTGAACAGTACTCAGGAGTAAATTCATATCAAATCAGTTTTGCTCGCTTAAAACTTCAGGCGCTGAATGCTCTAGATCGAATACTACTTTCTACTAAGTAGTCTGTGTTTCTAACTCAGTAAATGCTTAGTTAGACTATCCCATTTGCTCAAATCATTGCGAATTAGTATAAACTATTACTACAATAAAGAATTGAATTGAATCTATTTGATACTAGGATTGGGGAATCATAGCGAATAATTTGGTAGTGAATAGCTAACTGTATGCATAGTTTTTTTTTACTTAAAAAACAAGAAGTTTCCCTTCCGGATATGTCAGAATCAGAATCTGAATAATTTATTTTTAGTTATGTATTGTGGGAACGTGCATACGTATAGATGCTTTGAATTATATGAATCTTTGATTCTTATTTAAAAAATAATACCGATAAAAGGAACTTATGCTCCTGTCTGCTGCCCCTGAGACCCTCATACTAAAGTTTTATTCCAACTATTTTAACTTGACGGATACCAGAGTGAGTGATTTCCTCCTTGAATATATTTGACGGTCCGTGGTCCTTCATCTTCATACTCCTCCTGAGTTTCGACTTTTCTATCCTATCCTTTGATTTATTTACCTTATTTTAAATTTATCCTCTAAAAGTATATAAGTAAATATTATTATTATATACTATTATTTATATGTATTTAATAGTATTCAATCTTTACGTATCTATTAGGAGTCAATATGTAGTGTACTAATTTTGAAGTATGTAGATGCATACTTATATTGTATTATAATAAATCGTTTGCATCTCTTAAATTTCTGTATTAAAGTTGTTGGAAGACAATGGTACAAACTTACGATCGTTGATGTTTAGTGAATAGGTAACAGCTTCTCTGTTGTCAGCTGTGGCATGGACTCTTCCCGCTAAACCAGTGTGAGCAACATCAACACGTATAGCATATGATTCGGAACTGAACGTGATTGTTGGTAGTTCAGGGTATACTGGAAATGAACAAAATGAACGTTGAAATAGACTAGTGCAGACCAAAGGCTATAAGGCTGGAGAGCTTTGTCTCTAGTCGTTCCCTCGTGTCTGAGGATCGTCGGCTTCGTCGACCGACTATTTAGAGTGATCTTCATCTGTTTCTATCCAGCGAATCCTTACGGTTGTGCAAAATTTGGATGACGACGACTACAACAAGTTTCTTCAAACTTTAATCGCCTCTGCGCATCATGTGGCCAAAATATTAAAGAATGCATTGTTGGCTATCATGGATAACCGGGTTTTAATTTGGAGCTGAGACAGGTTTGATGCATTGGTAGTTTGAGGACTATGTAAAGTTAATGAACCTACATCTGTATCCAACTTTATACTTATTACGAGTAGTTACATCGGTTGAAGATCGAATCAGGGGGCTACTCTCGATCTCCGTGCGACATCCGTCCGAAACAATTACTGTCAAATAAGTAATATTCGACAAAATTAAAAGACAAGTATCCAGTATGAAGCTTCATTCGCATCACGCGTCTTTTCATTTGGTCAAGTATTGCTTATTTGGCAGTAATTGTTTCGGACGGATGTCGGACGGAGATCAAGAGTAGTCCCCCTGGTTTCATAAAACTGAAACTGACCTTAGTGTAGCCAAAATAAATAAAGAGTTTCAATACTCTCCTTATGAAAATAGAATATGCAGTATAGTTGGATTGTTCACTGACCACATACATAACATACCGCTTGTGGATTTCATCACAATAAAGGCAAATTTTTAGACACAAAAGTTAAGTTGACCGATATTTGCGAAAAATGTTTTTGTAACATTTCAAGTATATGATCATCGCACTAGCCATGTACGCCATCTATGTTACCTGACTTGTAATTGTGGCACTACAAAAAGAAGACGGGTGATTAAGTAAAGAGTAAATAATGTATGTCTAGAACAAGTTATGTGTTATAGCTATGTGCTTACCAGTCCGGTGTACGGTAAGTACTAATACGGCACTGGCAGTGCTCACCCTCATTTCCAGACTTACAAAGAAGACATCAGATGGCAAGGCCTCTAGTCCACCTTCTTGTATAGTTACAATTCCGTTTGACAGCGTGACGTTGAATAATCTCGCGTGATCTGAAAATTAATTAGCACAAAGTGAGATTAAATAAGATTCTTCTTTTAATTTAATTTTACATATTAGAGCAAGTTCCATATGACTATATACATAATGTGATCCATACATACGTAAAAAGTATAGTTTTAGTTTTCGTTTATTTCTCTCAACATTACAAATTTCATACAAATACAATTACATGTCATTTATACTACTATATACATATATACTACTCTTCGAAAATTGAGCGTCAAGTTTATAAAATAATTAAGAAAATAATTATGTAATAGTGAATCATAAGTACACAATAGTGTACATGTACAAAATCAAACATAATTAAATTAAATTAATAAATAATTGAGTTAAACTAACAATGTCAAGTGCATACAGAAAATATCAATACGGATACTTAATAACTAATAAATTTATATTACAGTATAATAATACGATAAATGTCAAATTTATTAATAAATTAATTAATAAATTAATTATTTATTAAGTATTTTGAGTGTACTCTGTTACTGAGTAAAGGGACTTTTCCAATAAAAGGTTCTTCAGTCTGCACCTGAACGTTTCTTACAACATTCGTTTTTTAGTTCGGCAGGTAGGTGCTTATAATAGGTCGGTCCTATAACCCGCGGGTTTTTTCGTGAAGTGCAGTGCGAGGCGGTACTAATCGGAGTTGCCCCGCACGACAGACTATATATACCTATATAGCATTTCGTATTAAATACAGTTAAACTTACTTGGTTCCCATTGAGACAACCTGGCCGTACATAGTGTGTATGACGAATAACTATCACTCAATGTGTTAACACTTACCTTCTATCTATCTTTATGAAGATATAATATTAGATAGTAATTTTTATGTTGCTGCAACATTACATAACATTGCACCTTGTATTTCTACTTATCATAATAAGTAATAATATGGTATCTCACGTAATAAGCATAGTAATGATAAAGAGAAATGTTTACTAGCCTCCTATAATTTCTATGCCGGTTCCAGTATAGTCTAAGACTGTTATAGTTTCATGTTGAATGACTCCTTCTCGAATGGTTCCTTCATAAAGCGCTTTATCGAAACGTGCACTTCCTGGCGGTGGAGGGTCGCGCATATTTGTGGTAAGTATCAGCATGGCTCTGGCATCGCCTACGCTCATTTCAATAAGCACAAATTCGACATCAGATGGGAGAGCGTCAAGTCTCATTCCTTGTATAGTTACTGTTCCGCTGGACAGTGTAGCGCTAAAGAGATCCGCATGCTCTGAGAATGGATTATATTTGCAAGTTAAAGACTTTGTAATAAATGTGAAGGACCTATAATATTGCGACGGATCAAATATCAACTTTTAGATAACACTGGAATGAATACTTTATAGACGATTTCAGCTCTCCTTAATATCCTTCTTACGAATAAACGTATATCTGTCATAAGAATGATGTTTATTTGCTTGATACATACCTCCTGAAATTTCAATACTGGTCCCGTTGTATCCATTAATGCTTATGGATTCATGAAGAACAACTCCGTCTTTAATAGTTCCTTCGTAAAGCGTTTTATCGAAACTTATACTTTCTGGCGGTGGGTCGGTACGAGTAAGTAACAAAACAGCGCCGGCATCGCTTACTTTCATTTCAAGGGCCACAAATAGGACGTCAGGCGGCAGAGTCTCCAAAGACACGCCTCGTACTGTGACTGTCCCGTTGGAGAGAGTGCCTTCGAATAGTCCCGAGAATTCTACGAAACAAACAAAGTATTTAATTTAATTACTGTTTATCTAGAATTTTTACTCAATTGATCCGTTTATAATAATGTTTACATTTTTGCAGTTAAGGAAGGAGACAATATATAAAATAAAATAAAATTTCAGTAGTACTGAACTGTAGTCCGTGTTTAAGTGTGTAACTAAAAAAAGAGACAATTACCTCCGAGAAGTTGAATATCTGTTCCGCTGTACCCATTTACGGTAATATATTCGTGTAGCATGGCACCATCTTGTATGAGTCCTTCGTATAGAGTCTTCTCGAAACTGACTATACATGATGGCAGGTCAGTGCGGGTTACGGCAAGTACTAATATGGCACTGGCAGTGCTGACTCTCATTTCCAGACTCACAAAGAGGACATCAGATGGCAAGGCCTCTAGTCCGTCTTCTTGTACAGTTACAATTCCGTTTGATAGTGTGGCCTTGAATAAATCTGCGTAATCTGAAAATTAACATGTTCAGAGTCAGGTTAAGTTCGATTCTTACTCGTATACTAATTTAGTTTTACGTTTCAGACTATGATCCATATGTGGCCACATACATACATTAACAGCATTGTCAACCCATTCAGATGTCACACTGCTGGGCACGGGTCTTACACCACATACACATTTCTTCCAACTCGTATAATAAACACTATAGTATCTCTTGAAGTAAGATAATATAGTTACTGTTACGTTGGATAGTGTAGCGCTAAAGAGCATGCGGAATGCTCTGAGTATGGATATATTTGCAAGTTAAGGATTTTTAATAACTGTGGAGGACCTACAATATTGCAACGGATCAAATATCACGTTTAGATAACGATGCTATACGAATAAACTTAACTCTGTTATAAGAATGATGTTTATTTATTTGATACCTTCCTCTTGAAATTTCAATACTGGTCCCACTGTATCCAATAACGCTTATTGGATTCATGAAGAACAACTCCGTCTTGAATAGTTCCTTCATATAGCGTTTTATCGAAACTTATACTTTCTGGCGGAGGGTCGTTGAGTAAAAAAACAGCGCCGGCATCGTTTAATCTTAGTTAAAGAGCCACAAACAAGACGTCAGGCGAAAGAGTCTCCAAATACCTAGATCCCTCGTATTGTTACATAGATATATTTTCCTATATCTATCTATTGCTACTACCTTGTTCGAAAGAGTGTTTTCGAATAGTCCCGAGAATTTTACGACACGAATAAATAGTTTAATTTAATTACTATTAATCTAGATTTTTTATTGATTGAACTTCGTTTTAATAAATTTTACATTTTTGCAGTTAAGGCAGGAGATAGTTCCAGTTTTCTAATTATAACAATACTAGACTGAGTTGGCACGTACTTAACTTTTTAACTTAAAAACGAGACAATTACCTCCGAGAAGTTGAATATCCGTTCCGCTATACCCATTTACGGTAATATCTTCGTGTAGCACGGCACCATCGTGTACGTTTCCTTCATACAGAATTTTCTCGAAACTAACTATACACGGTGGTGGGTCAGTGCGAGTTACGGCAAGTACTAATATGGCACTGGCGGTGCTTACTTTCATTTCGAGACTCACAAAGAAGACATCATCAGGCAGGGCCTCTAGCCCATCTTCTTGTAAAGTTACAATTCCGTTTGATAGAGTGGGCTTGAACAATTCCGCGTGATCTGAAAGTTGAAGATGTATGTACAGGGTCAAATTAAGTTCGATTCTTCTACTAATACGTATATGTATAGATCACGCACCGAAATTTAAAATTCATTTAGTAGAATTACGTAGATATATATATATACACATACACATTTCGTACAACTCATATAATAAACACTACATAAACACAATTTATTTTTTACTAACCTCCTATAACTTCTACGGCGGTTCCAATATAGTCTAAAACTGTTATAGTTTCATGTTGAACGATTCCTTCTCGAATGGTTCCTTCATAAAGCGTTTTGTCGAAGCTGGCACTTCCTGGCAACGGAGGGTCGTGAATATTTGTGGTAAGTACCAGCATGGCTCTGGCATCACCTGCGCTCATTTCAATGAGCACAAATTGGACATCAGATGGAAGAGCGTCAAGGGTAACTCCTTGTACAGTGATGGTTCCGCTGGATAGTGTAGCGTTGAAGAATTCGGCATGCTCTGAGAACGGATTATATTTACAAGTTAAGGATTTTATAAAACTTAATAGATAAATTTGTAGCTGCTAGTGTAGCTTCTTTCAAGGCATAATATGATACACCAATTTTAAAAATGCAATGCAAGTTTCAGCTGAAGATTTTAACTCTTTATTTCGCTCCATGTGTAGTCGGTCGTATTTGTAAGTGTCGGTATGTTTGTCTGTATGTCAAATATTTTTCCAAGTACAAACACCTAATAGAGTATACAAATAGCCATGTGATGTGCCATCAGGGTAACGGCGCAGTGGCATTGAATTTGACCGCGATTTAAAACTTACACTATCATAAAAAAGAGAACCACATAATACTCAATAAAGATGCATCATTATAACATTACTAAGATGTTGCACTAGTTATTATTAGACTATAATAAAGTAAGACCATACATTCATTACGAAGTGAATACCGTGTTTCAACTTCCGTCCATATAAGGGGACCTTTTGCGATAATATTCCTTTTTGTGTTCCCTAAAAGCGGGCCGGAATTCAATGAGAACCTTTTATGAATATATATGCTTTTTTCAAAAATCTTCAGCTGGAGATGCCATCATCGAGTTATCTAGCCATGTTTGTTGTCTACTGAGTCACTGCCTTGTTCTTTCATATTAAAAACTTCAATGTTCGGTATCGTTCAAAATTGAGCAGTTCTGCAACTTGATTGACATTGAAATATGTGAGAGTAATTAACAATACCCGCGAGAAGATAGAAGACAAGAAACTGGTACCATAAGAGTTATAATACTTTCCTATTTGATTTTGTTAAAAATAATAATGGGGAACCAATTGTTTGTGCGTCCTAAAGTTTTTGTTTATGTATATTATTGAGCGAGTTAATACAATATTAAGCTGTTGTTAATTCATGTCGATTGTTGCACATTTGACTTTCCTTTTTAAAACTCTCAGACTTGACTTTGAGTTGCCGTTTGTGTGCATAAACCCTCCCTTGACTACTGGTAGGTACTTTTGTAGACTAAAACAAATTGCATCTTTTAGTTTGACGAGGGCTGTTTGTAATCCTAACTTGTCTAAGGGACGTTGCACAGAAGAATCACACTTAAAATCCCAGTGTTGGAATAACTTTTTCAAATTTATACCCACCTCCTGAAAGTGGAATACGACTCCCGCTATATCCTTTGACCATAATTGTTTCGTGTTTAACAACGCCATCTTGAATGGTTCCTTCGTAAAGTATTTTGTCGAAACTAACATTTTCCGGTGGAGTATCTGTAAAATAATTAAGGTACAGCATGCTATATGATCTTATATAGGTATTTGTATCTTTTTGCAGTTACGACTACTGGCAATACACGCTAGTTATATTTTCATCTCAAATGTTTTTTTGATTTACTTTTAAAATAGATATTTTTTCCTACTTTTCTTGGCTTTTCGCGGTTAGCTATTGTAAGATGACATTTGAGTAATATAAATTTTATAATATAAAATTCAATACAAAAAGGTTCATAATCGCTAGTCTATTTCATTATTTTTATATTTAATTGATTTTATCATTGACATAGTCATTCATTTCATATTCTACATGTCTTTGTAGAGAAATCGTATTAGAAATAATTATTACGATTATATCGCTTGTCGGTAGAAGTGAATTATATTTAATATTGTACTATCTGTACATCTAAGTTAATAATTGTATTTTGCACATTCGTATTTTTTTTGTAAGTATTATACAAAAGCACTACGCGAGAAGCACACAATAAGTTTCCGGAATGAATAAGAAAAAAATACTATAAATGGTCAGAAATGAATTTATTGTTTTTTAAAATAATCTCCGTTAGCATTAATGCACTTTTTCATACGAATGAACCAATTTTGAAAACATTTATGCCACGTCCGTGACAATCTCTGAAACATATTTTTCATACTCTTCGACAGACTCTTCAGGTGATGAAAATCGTTGACCACGTAACTGATTCTTAATTTTTGGAAATAAATAAAAGTCACAAGGTGCCAGGTCAGGACTGTACGCGAGATGGCTCATTAGGTCAACATTATTCACCTTCAAAAATTCATTTGTTTTTGACACCAAATTTGACGCCCCTTCATTGAATCTGGTAAGCATGGCATTGCACCAAGTGACGCGATGCGTTTTTTGAGCCCCAATCAAATTGTGTGGGATCCACCGAGAGCACAGCTTTTTCACACCCAAATGTTTGTATAGTGTTGATTGTATTTGACTCATGCCTATGCCTAAAGATGCCCGAATCTCATGGTATGTCACATGCCTGTCTGTTTTGATTATACGACGCATAGCATCGATATTTTTGTTGTTTACAGCAGTGGACGGGCGACCATCACGAAATTCGTCACTGAGATTCACACGACCGCGTTTGAATTCTACAAACCAGCTATAAATAGTTGTCTTGCATGGTACTTCATCGCCAAAAGCAGTTTGAAGCCGAGGGAAGCTCCGCTGAGCTTCTACATTACACTTAAAGTCGTAGAAAATCGTACTACGAAAATTTTCACGAGTTAAATTCATGGTGACGTGCTCTGTGATGTGTGATGGTGATGTAGACAACCAATTTCTAAAATGACGCCACAATGTAAAAAAAAACAAGTGACAGTCAGATGAAATAAACTGTATTCTACAGTCAAAGAGTTCCATTTTCAAATGTTGTAATTACTTTTTAAATATTGTTTACGTAAGTGGCCAGTTCCAGAAACTTATAGTGCGCCCTATGTATATTTTATAAATTTTGCATTTTTATAATATTCTTTATATGTATAACACAAAAATAACCAAGCTAAGCTAAGCTAGCCCAAGCTAACCTCACCTGCAAGTGGTGCGCCTGCTGATAGACGGACGAGGCTCTAGCGAGGGGTTTTCCCTTTCGGGGGTTGGGAGGTCAGACGGCAGTCGCTCCCGTAAAAACCAACACCGCCACATCAACTTATGGAAGTCAACAGAAGGATATGGCATAGGG